GGAGCTCAGTTTCCTGTACCCGGCAGGACAGGAAGTGCTCTCTCTGTGAGCACTTCATTTCTGTCCGCCCGGGTACAGGAAACATAAGTTCCTGTACTGCGGCGCGCTCGGCCATGCTAGACAGAGTGCCTGGCAGGAGGGAGCGCTATGCGCTCACCACCTGCCGGTCACTCCGGTTTTGCGCCCGCCGGGCCAGTGCACCCTAAGGCGGCCACTTGAGACGCCTTATGGATGTGCTGGTGGAGCGCACCCTCCCTCCGGCGACCTGTGGCCGCGTGACCACAGAGGGGGCTCGGCGTGCCACCTGTGTTTAGCCATCACTGATCTAGGAGGCGATCTACCATCCATTGGATGGTGGCTGGGGCGTCCTTCATCCCGAACGGCATATCCCTGAACCGGTATAGGACGAATGGATTGCATGAATAAGCTGTGAAAGTCCGACTATATCCGTTTAGGGCTGATACACCATTGGTTTCCTGTGGGATAAAATCCAATTTTTACTGCCAACCTGATTGGTTAGTTTTGCTGTGTTTGATAATCTTGTAATGATCTCCTGTTCTAATGAGATCTCTGAATTTCAAACATTGGGGTGCCTCCACTGAGAAACCTATGGTAAATTCGCAGGGGCGTAAGATGCCATAAAAGACTATGGAATTGGTTTGTGAGTCAAATAGTTTGCTGTCTAGCATGTTGAATAAGACTCTGAACCTGGGGCCATCAATAAGTTGTCGGTTAGGTGTGTACACCTGGTCTACCCGCTGAATACCCATTAGTGTATTTTTTATGGGATAAGTGGACATGAATGGTTTGTAGTCTGGGTAAAGAGTTTTATGGTATTTTACTCTGTTCGTATGAAGAAAACTGAGGGAGAGATGGGGGGGAACTGAGGGAGGTATGAGGGGAGAAAACTGAGTGTGGGATGGGGGAAAGAAAACAGTGGGTGAATCTAGTGAACAGTGTCATAGCTCTGTCATCATTTATTTCTGGTTATTGACTTTGGTTTTGTTTGACTTCCCTGTATTCTGGTATCTCTGACTTTTGGCTTTCCTTCATCGTTGTGTCTCATTCTGTGTCCCCGACCTTGGCAAGTATTCTGACTATTCTCTGGTACGTTAAGTCTGGCCATTCTAAGGCCCGGTAAGACGTTACCTTTTAGTACTAAGTGTAATATAGTTCTACATGCAGGATCAAGTAGTAATTCTTGCCATAGTGTTCCCCCCGTTAATGCGGCTGCAACGATAGGATAGATTTTAAAGAGAGCGGAAGTCTTCCTGAAAAGCTGGTAAGTTAATGGCCTCCGCAGGCCATACGTCTTTTAATCATCTGTCACCAAAAATGGTAGCGAAGCCTGTGTGTGCAGCCGCATCGGTCCAAATAACTGGGGAATCATCGGACAATGGGGGAACAAACAGATCTGCCATTCCAATTATCTAGGAACTGCTGCCATATGACTAAATTGGCTCTGGTGTTTACATCCAGGGTAATCTTGCTGAGGCTATCCAGGGCACCAAGTAGGATGCACAATAATCTAGAAAAATTATCGACCCTGCGGGATGATCCGCATGGCAAAGTTAAAAGTTCTTTCCGTGAACAAGCTCCGATCCTCATGAATTCATACACGTCATTTTTGATTCTCAGGAGCTTGTCCGCAGGGAGTCTAGCCTCTAAGAGGACTGTGTCTAACTGTATACCCAGAAATACCAGGCAAGTGGTGGGTCCTGCAGTTTTGTCTAGTGAAAGTGGAATCCCTAAGCTGGAAAACAAAGCCTGTGCCTTGATCACAACCGGACACTTGTTGACACTTGTTATGAGCAAATTCAAATATTACAAGTTTTAGATTAAAATGTATTTCTTAAACTGTGTACTTTGTCTTTAAGAGATATTGCAAACCGAGAAGGTGTTAGAAATGGAACTTATTGTTTTTCATACATGTTTCTTTAAAAAATAACCTTCAGTGCATAATATGTTTACGCCATTTTGTCCCAGATAAAATACAATAAGAATAATGCATAAACAAGCTTCAAGGCTATGCTACGACTCTTGCAGTACACAATATACTGTGGTAACCCAAAGTAGATAAAGATGTTCAGACTTTAAGATGCCATCCTGACCTAAGTCAGGAAAATGTCCATGATGTATACACCCTTTAGTTATGGCCTTGTAGTTTTGCCACGTTAAGGGAGGTCCTAAAGTGAATAAAAGTAAAAAAAAGTTACTTTTTCATAAATGAAGTACGGTGACCCTAAAATGAAGACACCTAAGGTATAAATAGGTGTACTCAGTGGTGTATCCTGGTTTTGTGCTGCCCTAGGCAGGACAAAACTCAGGCACCCCCCAGCTTTCTACAGCCCCCCTCACCAACCCTTCCCCTTCTAAAATACACACACACACACACATTCATTGACAGATACATACACTCTCGCCAACAGAAACACAAACACACACCCAACAGACACACTCACTCAACAGACACACACTCACTGACACACACACTCACAGACACACACACACTCACAGACACACACACAGTCAGACACACACACTCACTAGCAGACACACACACACTAACAGACAAACACAGTCAGACACACACACTAACAGACACACACTCACTAGCAGACACACACACAAACTCACACACACTAACAAACACACACACATTAACAGACACACACTCACAGGCAAACACACTCACACTAACATACACACACACACTAACAGACACATACACTCACAGGCAAACACACACTCACTGACACACAGTCAGACACACACAGTCAGACACACACTAACAGGCACACACTCACTCATTAGCAGACACACACACTCACACAGCCAGACACACACACTAACAAAACTCACACACATTAACAGACACACACTCACTGACACACATTCACTCACATTAACACATTTTTTTTTATTCTCCCCCCCCAACCTCCTTACCTTTGGGAGTGCTGGGGGGGGGGGTTCATTACCTCCCTGGTGGTCCAGTGGTTGCCGGGCTGGGCTGGGCGGGCGGCTGGCGAGGGAGCTCTTCCCCTGAGCGGTGTGCTCAGCTCCCTCGCGTGCCGCAGAGTGAGGCTGGGAGCCAGAAGATGACGTCATCTTCCGGCTCCCAGCCTCACTCTGCGGTGCGCGAGGGAGCTGAGCAATCAGCTCAAGGGAAGAGTTCCCTCGCCAGCCGCCCGCCCCGCATGCCTGTTAGCCGCGAGGCTAACAAGGCATTTGACCTGGGCATTTGGGGGGCGGCGTTTTTTGCCGCCCCCTGGAAAATGCCGCCCAAGGCAAATGCCTTGTTTGCCTCGCGGCTAATACGCCCCTGCACACAGCACATAAATAATGTTACATTTTTTTTGGTGCGGGTTTAAAGTCCACCCAGGCTCCCTACCTGGTGGATGTGATTCCTTTCCGCTGTTATAAGGCGGTATGGGCGTGAGGGAGCACTGACTTACCTGCTGTTCCAGCACTGCTCCCTCCACTGATGTCACCAGGAGACAGGAAATGACGTTAATCAGGCAGCGCCTGATTGACGTCACTTCCTGTCACCCGGAGGCATCCGCAGAAGACGCGGAGGGAGCAGTGCTGGAACAGCACGTAAGTCAGTGCTCCCTCGCAGCCCTCCATCCCACTCACCCACCAACGATACGAAAGCAGAGTAGGCGCCTTCTGTTTTGGGCAGTCAAGTGTCTACACTGCATTGCCGCCCGGGGGGGCCTAAGGCTGCCGATTGGCGACGGCAGTGCCCCAATAAGATGTGCCGACCATGAGTAGCGATCCGGCGACCAATGACTGCGTGCCCGCAGAGAGGGCTCGGCGGGCCAGCTGTGGCACGCGTGCCATAGGTTCGCCATCTCTGTACAAGGTCAACAGAGCAAAAAAATATTCTTTATTTTCAATGGCCAATAAAATGTGTAAATAAACAGACCAACAGACAATAAATATGTAACTTTATTAGTGTTTTTTTTTCTAAGGAGACTATTGCAGATTTATTTGATAAACTCTGTTCCACATAGATGATATTGAGTGATAGCATTCTGAAATATAGGTCTATGATAACCTTCCAAACTAGGACAATTGTGCTCTTGATTGAGCATGTATGCAGAGCAATCTTTCTTAGACAATGAGATGAATTGCCAGTTTGGATTTTTGCAGCAGAATGGAGCCTATTAAATCCCCCTGGTACTAGAAGAAATGTGCATGAAAAAAGTACAGTGCTTTAAAATCAGTTAGTTAAACATATAAAGTATGTAAACCAATATTGCCTTTCAAAAGATCTATCTATTTGTATATTTTACTTCAAAGCGATGACATGCTGTCTTATTATTTACATGCTTTTTTGGTCGCCCAGACATAGCTCAGATAAGATCATTTTCTCTAAAAAGGCAGTGTTTTCCTTAAGCTGTAGTGGTTCTAGTGACTATAGTGTCCCTTTCAGAAATGTCATCTGTCTCTGTGCTAATGCCCTCTGTTTTATCATGTCATTCTATTAATTGCAAGACAAGTTTCATCGCGATAGAAGACCGTTTCAATCAAAACTATTAATTTTCCAGGTCACCTGGAATCCAGTATGCTTTAAATTAATGCACATTAGATTATTAAGAACACTTTGACAATTGTGACTGATGGTGATTGAGGTTGAGATCCCTCCTAATGGTTTGTCGTTGGTGACCTCTCTGCATATCTATTGATAAATCAACATTAATATACTTTGCACACAAGAGGAGAAAATATGGAAATGAGGAATTCCCCAAGCATTGAAGGAGAGGAAAGGGGGACGGACAGAGATTAGTTTGAGAAATTGGATGGTATAGAAACCTTCCCTATATGTAGGCTCACCACCTATGTATTATACTGTAGTTATTGAATGGGTTAATATCGATCTCAACCCAATTTGGTAAATGTAACGCTTATGCATATGCGTACGACTCTGGTTTAGACGTACATCAGATCCATAGCCTTGCAAACGTATCCATAGTAAATGTATCTATTTTTTATATTGTTTGTTGGAGAACTTACAGTTGCTGCTAACATTTAAATGTCTGTCCTCTATAGTCTCTATGGTACTGGAGAGGAAGTGTGTTGGCTTCTTGTCTTACCTTACTTCCTCTCTCTGTGTTACTATGCAGCCAATTTGATTTAAACTCTGTAAGCTCTAGTGCTCTTATTTCTGTTCAAGCACCTGTAACAGTGTTTTCATATTGCTACGAGTGTTAAAAGCTCTATTCCATTTGTGGCCCTTCATTTATGTAAGCTTATGAGAATCCTTTGATTGTTTGTCACACAACTGCTATGACTTCAGGAGGGGGTGTGAAAAGTAGATTACAGGTAAGTAAGACCTTTTTTATAGTTATTTGGGGGTTGTGGGGGCCTAAAGAATAATGACCAATAGCCCCCCCTCCCCATTACCTCCTTAAATAAGTAGACAACTACACCTTATTACAGTGCAGGGTGGGTTTGCTGGCTTTGGATCCACCCCCATCTACCTCCTTGGCTGACAGCATACGAATTGATGATATCAGCCAATCCAATGCTTTACCATAGAAAAGCATTGGGAGGCTATAGCACATGCGCATCAAAACACCGCAGTGACCAACCAGCATCTGATCATAGAGATGCATTGCATCTACGGGGAAAGTTCTGCATCTCCATACAGAACGTGGAGACTCTGAACCTTAGTGCTGCTTACAGTGCAGAATTGACCCAGAAAGCATCTCTAGTGGCCCTCTGCGTGACTACCACTAGAGGTGTTAATATGGACCAATGTAAACACTGCTTTTTCTCTGAAAAGGGAGTGTTTACTACAAAAAGCTTGCAGGGGCAGACTATACTCACCATAACAACTACGTTAAGCTGTAGTTGTTCAGTGACTACAGTGTCCCTTTAATCCAATATAAACGAGGCAAAGAAGCGCACAAATTGCATATGAAGAGGAGCAATATAAACACTGTTTTATTTCATCGCTGTATGTTTTCTCTATGTTTACTGAAAGGTGCAAAAGACAGAGCTTTTAACAATAATTCACATGTAGCTAAGATGGAGGCAGATAAGTAGTAGAGTGTTGCACCCTGGTATCAGTAGCACCGAGCTCTGCGGTAGAGGTCTGCTAAACTCCCAATATATCCACAGGTGAAGAGCCACAGGCTGCACAGCGTAGGGTGGACAATGCAATTTCATGTTAAAAAGATTTCCAGACTTACTTTTTCTTTTCACATGTAACAAATTCATATTTCTTAAAATAGGAATAAAAATGCTGGCAAATGACAGTTCCTCTTTAAATCACCGTCTTTCTTCACAACAAAAAAGAAGTCAGCACCTGCAGAAAAACCTCCATAACTTTTGTAATTCTCCATAGCCATTTCCCACTTGGTTAAAGACAATATAAGTTACCCAATGGGGCATAGGGCCTGGTTGGAATTCATGGAACAGTTAGGAACATCGAGGTTAGAGTTTTCGGATTCTTTTTTGCCAGTTGCAACAGATGATTTTTAAAAATAATTCCCCAACTCAGCTCTAGTTAGAGCTTAGCAATGTTAGCCTTAATTTTGAAGTTTTGGTTTTCAATTCACAAAAATTGGTTTTTAGTAAATAAACTAAATATCGTTTACTGATTAGACACCCTTTTCTATTATTATTTGTATTTTTCTGCATATCCATCAGCAGTAAATTTGTATTACCTTACATTCCTTGTTTTCTTTATACATTACCTACGTTGCTTCTTTTTTTCCCCTACCTATAATAGTGTTGCTCACTTTTGTATACACCTTTCCTTGTAAAATTTAGAAAATACGTGTTTTTATCTTACCGGTAGTCTGGGAAGTTTCTGTTGGGCAGCTAATCCTCCTTGACAATTTCTGGTCCAGTCCTATGCTTCCACTGGGTATGCATGGCAAATCAGATGCTGAATGTGAAAACTTTCAATTGAACATATTCCATGAGAAAAAACCTCTAGTGGCCATTAGTCAGAAATGTTTAACATTGCCAGGAAAAAAAAAGTAGTTTTTTACATCGAAACTACCTTGTTAAGATGAAAATATTTTAGTGCTTAGAGTGTCCATTTACGTTTCTCACTGCTTACTGCTTTTCCTTCCTTAGCACTGCACGAGACAAACCATATGTAAGACTCTTATTGCTTAATTTTATATTAAGTTCGCGACTGAACCTGAAAAGGTTCAAAAGAGTGCGGGCCCTGGTGCAGCCGGTAGTTCCGGCACTGATGACCACCATGTTTTAGAATAATATGACAGCTTACCTTGGGTTCTCCATGCGCTGCTCTTCACCTTCCCCCTGCAACCAGGATAGCAGAAAACTCCTGCTTAGGAGTTTATGTTAGCTATTCTGAGCTAAGACCTGCTGTGCAAGTCTATTTGTTTAGTGGAGAGCAGTTTAAATACTTACACTGGTGTGGGAGTCAGGGCACTCCTGGCACCATAACCACTACAGTGTGAGATAATGGGTATGACACCTGGAGTATTTGTTTAAGATCACAATCTGGTTTCTAAACACCCGGTGCAAGTTTGCAAAAAATCAGGCCAGAGTGTGTTAAATGAGTTGGACACTCTATTTTGAAACAGGTCTTTAAAGACTGGTTTGCTGTAACAGAATTGTTTCATCTTTGAGCCCCTGGAGTGGGAGTGGATTGAGTCATTCAAAGCAAGATTCAGCACTCACTTGCCTATCACACAGTCAGTTCCTGCAGCTGCGCCAGCTCACAGTTCCTCACCTGGGCGG